TATTTTCAAGTCGGAGAATGAACTACGATGAAAGGACTCTGATCTCTTACTCATGACAGGATTTCTGATGGACTAAACTAACACTGCACATTGTACGTCTTTTGTGATTTATCTTCTTAAACATCCCTTTTGGTTGAAGTGAATTAAAAAGTGACGTCATGCCTTTCTGGACAATTGAGAGCGCTTTACTGTGATTTCAATCTGTAGGAATTTTATGGAAATGGGAGGATGCTTATTTTATATGTATTTATTTTAAAATTGTGAAATCTAAATTTGCTCCTTGAACAAGTCTCAGGATATGCTGACCATCGATCATTGGTTATTTTCCAGGAAACAGCAATGAATTGCCAAGGAAAAGGAAATTTAGGCCAGAAAAATGAGAACAATTCCAGCATAGTGGGTACATTCAACTAGCTTGCCCTGGTTACAAGGGTTTACCCTCATCCCCACCGTCTTGTTTGTTTGACACAGTACAAACGACCATCCCTAGGTCAGGGTTGCTTTGTGTTAGCTTAAACCAAAAGCACCCATTGTTTTTACAAGCTAAAAGCCAAGGGTGGATCCAGTACCAAAATGCAGGAGTGGGGAGTGGATTTGGTTTGCTTTTTAAATTGTTTGAGGGGTTTTGCAACATTTTGGGCTATTTATACACAGTTCCAAAGGTAACTTCAGCATCTTGCAAGCATATGCAATACATGAGACTCTTACCTGCATGGTAACCTGCATCTTCTTTGGAAATTTCATCGTTGGTCAGTCCATTCGCACCACGATGCAAGAGATACAATAGCCAGCCTCAACATAGGCAGCTATTGCAGTACATTCACCTAGCAATCAGGCCTTCACTAATCTAAACACGGGAAATGAAAAAAATACAAGCAAGGTAAAGTTAAGTTTTTCAATCACAAACTAAGAAGTTTTTTACATGAGCAAAAGGACAAGCCTGTAAATCTGTCATTCTTTTGGTATCAAATCAAAAGTGGAACATCAAATAACCCTTGCATGATTTTGATTTCCATGACTTCCATATCTTTTCCATGACTTCCTTTGACAACCAAGACAAATTGAATGCATTTTCAGTGACTTTTCAGGGTGATTTTTTAAGGATTTTCTACATGTACGACTATGGGAACCCTGTACAAAGGAAAAATTTTTATAAGTACCCTAATCATGTTTGTTACAATTATAATTTGAAAGGAAAGAACTGAAGGATGACTTACTTTGTCAGAATAATGATGCCAGAAGAAAAGTTCACAGGCAGGGGACCAATCATGCTGCTATTGCCTTACTTTATCAGAACAGTGATGCCTGAAGATGAGCCCACAGGCAGGGGACCAACCACGCTGCTATCACTAATACTCTGTCAGGATAGTGATGCCAGACGATGAGCCAACAGGAACCGGACCAACCACGCTGTCGTCTACCTCCAACACCTGGTAAAGATAAGAAAAGAAAGTGGCATTATGATCTATCTGCATTGGCAAATACATGTTCTTCAAATACAAGTCATCAGCTTCCTGATGACTTGTTAATTGTTTCCTGTGACAGCGTGATCCTGTGTGTCAAGCAACCAAGCAGAAACAGCTAATGGCCCGGTACCAAGTCAATGACTATTCGGTTCCCCCTCAACTAGGTATTTTGTTAACATTGTTTCCGAACCCGATGCCTAGTCCTTGGTTACTGGTTAACCGGGGAACTGTTCAATCAATGAGAAGCTTGTGGATGCTAATGCATATCTGGCGCCGTGTCCCTATCCAGAAGAAATAAATTCGCTTCTCTTGATCAGTTATCCTGTTACCGTTTGCAACTTCTTGTGGGTTTGCGCAGGCTTACATTAAATGGGAATCATTAATGTAGCAATGTAAATGGTAACGCTAAGTAGTTTATATACCCCAAGCTGTCTTGTGAGAAAGTGTGTTTAATAAGTTGCTTCATTTCGTTCAGATTTTGTGAGCGTAAGTGCTTTCATTTAGGATATTTGGGGTTTAGTATTTGCCCAACAAGGTATCAACACTCATTGATTGTACTATTGCACTCACGCCAAAAGAGGATGCTATGAATCATGATGATGGGTTTTCTGATATTTGGAAACATTGTTCCCTTCATATGTGAACACCCTCCACACAGGGTTTCATTTTCGACTGCATGGTGCAGACCAGTAGATAAGCTGCTATACAGCATAAGCAGAACAGTGATAAATATCCCCACTTCAAAAACTCAGGAAAGTAACAGTTTTTGAATACAGGTGTTCAAAACACATATCAAATTAAAGCTCACTTCCTTATCTTTAATTTTCCTTTCAGTTTTCAGGGGCTTAACCGATGACTTTTGAAGATATTTCTCTCCAGAGAAAATAACCCTTCAAAACAGTTAAGAGGCCCATCGCCATTTTGGAAATCGATGCCTACACCCCATGGCAAAATAGAGTAATTTAGAGGAATGTTGATCACTTCGGCACCTTGCCAACTCGGTACCTACCAACTCCACACCTCGTCAACTCGGCACCTAGTCAGCACCTAGCCAACTCTGCACAAAACTTTACCTTCGGTCTGCATTTTCCAACTTGGCACCAGACTGACTCAGCACGCTCGCAACCAATTGGTTCTAATTCCGTATCTACTCAGTTAATGCAATATCTGAATAATAGGCCTTCTTAATTCAGCTAGAAACCTTGCCAAAATATCTCTTACAAGCTGCCGAGTTGGCAAGGTACCGAAGTGACCTGTTACCAATTTAGAGGGAATCGTTTGGTGTGATACTTTCAGAAATACAACCTAGCAATCCTGCTGGTACATTCCATCCTCCTCTTTTACAAACCACCAAGTCCACCTGCTACAAAATGCTCTAACAGCAGAGACTTTGACAGCCTACAAAGCGTGATTCGGTCTGCGCAGGCAGTTTTGGATCTATTTACTTACTACCCTGCAATGTTTGCCTGTCCCATCCCAACCCCAAGGTTAAAAACTGCCTGTTTTCTACCAGAAAAATTGTTGAATCTGACACTGGTGATATCAAAGACCATGTTTCCACAGCAGTATTTTGGAGGGAGAAGTGAAGACTTGTTCACCAGTGTTAACGATTTCAAACAAAATGGCTGCATGTAAATTTTGGACAAGCAAAAACCGTCTCCCCAAATTTGTTTTTGCCAGTCCTCAGGGCAGGTGGCTGGACAAGACACTGTCTACCACAATAGTCCCAAAGTCCCCAGCCATTTCAAATTCATATTTCAAATGATTTCTCCACTCCAGTTTGAAATAAATGCACGCTCAGAAATCAAAGTCATCACAGATTCATAGATACTCAAACCTGCAAGTCCAAGGGGATCCACCCCTTTTCCCAAACCCTCAAGTTCACAAGATCGTCCAATACATACCTCATTCATTTACGTAATTATGAAATGGGATGAAACTGCTGTGCTTAGGAGTTCACTTTTTTCAATATTTTATTGTTCTTGGCACCTATATGAATGGTACCCAAAGCTACAAAATAATTCATAAATTGAGTTGACAAGATTTTTTTTTTGAGTGGGTGTCACATTCTTTTCAACAATAACATATAACTTTTTATCTATCTAGAAAAAAAGAAGTTCCTTTCTATTATACACAAACGGCTGCCACTAAAAGGCAGATAATTTTTGTACAAAAGGAGATAAATTTTTTTACTAACAATAACAAAGACATTTTTAGTCAGCCAAGTTTGATAGTGTCCCCAACATTGTTCATTTCTTTGGTCTTGACCTGCTCAAGAGTGTTCCAACAATCTGTTATGGAACATTTGTTCAGTTTGTGGACCATACTGAGACAGCTGTCTTGAGCAAGTCTAATAAATCTCTAACATCAAGAACACATGATCTACTTTCTTAGCAGCTGAAATGACACCATTCTAAATCAACCAATCACATTAAATATGCAAATTCAATATGCAAATATCTTACACCTCCTTCCAATGTGGAAATATCATACAACTGTACAGTTCACCATAATGCTTGAAAGTTACTCATTTTGAACAAACGCTGGCATCATACCAGCGGGGGGGAGAAATGGCAAAACAACCAAAGTGCAGTTTGATTAGATTATTTCATACTTTGAAAGAATGCTTTAAAAAGATTCATAAAAAAAATGCCTTCAAAACGAGAATTCACCTGAAATCAATTCAACATATTTTACAATTATTATTGTGCACCTGAAATCACATATAAGCACACAATTTTGTCACTTGCTTCGGCGTACAAGCACATGCTATTTACCTGAAACAATGTTGCTCATTTTTGTGACGAGAGGATTGTGTATCAAGTAATCTAACTGCAAGTATAAATAAAGGCAGATACTCAAACAAAATATAGGAAAAGTTTGGAATGAGAACTGACGATTACAAATTGGATACCATGTGTGCTGTTCCACATTCTCTTTCTATCTCAGCAAACATTAAATCAAGATTTGTCTTGCTGAACACTGAAGCATTATCCTTGTGTTTTCAGTAAAAGAATCTATGATACAGTGTGTCAGTCAGGGTGCAAGTCTGAAATCTACTAGAATGACAGAATGATTGGCATTATGTCATGATGACATCATTAGTGACAAATCACGTGACACGAAAGGTGTTTCCTTTTCTTCAAAACATATCAAGTTGGGTTATGACTTGCAGGCATCGGAAAAGAGATATGTTATAGATCACTGTGGGAAAACAAATCCAAACACAGTTACAGATTATGGGCCTGTTTGTTTCACACAGATTTGGATTGCGATCAGTGATCCCTAACACTGGTTTGCACCATCCATTAGGTGCGTTTTGGTGTCTGTAAACCACCAATGGGTCACCGATCGTGATCCAGATGTGTTGAAACAAACATGGCCCATGATCCACTGCACGCTTGTCAAAGATGGCTACCCAGTCAGGTTGACTATTTGGGACCGATCTACCAAAGGTTGGTTGCATCACTAAATTCAAGTGCTGTGAATATCGCCGTGTACATCAGGGCACAAGGATTCTTGCCTAGCCATGACGACGTTGGACCATAGTTTGACCAGAGATGTTCGCACTACACAAATAGTGCACGGGTGGAAGCCACTAAGTTACAAATCAACTTCAATTGATGAGAGGTTCTTCATCAACTTGCTCCTGGTTGAGGCTGCGAGTTCATTTAGCCACTAGAGGGTGGAGGCATGCATGGAGTATACAAATCTTTGAAAACCCTTGGTCCTGGCTTCTGCCGGGAGTAAAACACATCCATAGGAAGTGACTCTAGCCAATAGCTAGTGGCTTTGATGGCCACACATACAATGTCCCGTTGGAGCCACAGCCACTGGGTCTAGCCTTCTGTTAACAAAAAAAAAACCCACAAAAACTTAAACACACCAATACCTGTCCTTTGCTTTTTTAGGGGACTTCTGTGTCAAACACACAAAAAAAAACCCCGAGATTGAGCAGACACCATATGCAAACCCTCTCAACAGATCTCTGCACAAGGGCCATATTTCAGATGTTTATCACCATGCTCAACTTAAGACTTTACAGTGTTTTCCATTTCAGCCCAAAAATGTTCAACAGTTTCACTGTAAACAGAAAAAAAAAATGACGATCTAGCATGCTCCTCTCCCGATGTTGAGGTTGGTTCTGACGTTCATCCAGTAGTCTCAATGTCATAGATTTAACAAGAAAAACAAAAATTTTAACTCATTTGATTGTACAGATGTACCATTAAGGATACATTTCTAAAAATATTGATGTGTATCCGAAGGCTTAAGTTACAATAATTCTCTTAAAAAGATTGAAGTTAAAAAGTCTTCCTGCAACAAAAACTGCCATGAAAAATATGGAATTCTTGCCTCATGTATAAACAACCAGATATATACCTTAAGTTTGCTATAAAAACCTACATTTACTAAAAGCAACCAAATGAAAGTAGTAGATATTGGAAAGAAGATGAGCACGACTGAGACAAATCTCTGAGAGTTTTGTGACCAAGGTTCTTTCCAAGCAGCTGTGTCAGTCTTGAAAGATTCAAGCAATGAAGCTCTAGCCAGACATCCAAGCACATTTTTTATGCACAGATGTTTGTTTCAGCATTCTCAAAAACTCGACAGTTTTTCACCCTTTGCACTTATAAAAAGAAACCAAATGGCAAATAGAAAAATGGACAGGGTCCGTCTATCTTGAATGAGCATCCTTTTCCAAATGTTTGTCTTTGGGTGCAGAGGGCTCAGCTGGGGATGAGTTCCGTGCACTGGGAGGCAACGCCAGGCTTGGAGAGGATGTCCGACTTCGTGGACAAGCTGGATTTAAACCGACACTTGTTGATGGGATCAGTGGGGGAGGCTGTGGGGCTGTGGACGGGGAACCGTTCCTGTGAACACTGTTTGGATACATCATTCCATTTCGGAATAGTCCAGATGAGACGGGGGGCATCAAGCCCATGTGTCTCGGTTGCAGACAGAGGGCAGGGTCCACCCCTTGGAGTAATCGGGCACGCTCGGCCTCATCACGTATCATGCGTTCCCGCTCTTCCATGTAATGCTGTATGCGTTCCTGCTCCAGTCGGCGCAGTGGATCCAAGCCGATGGGGTTGTCCCGCGTAAAGTCGTGTGGCTCCCGGTCCCGGAATCGTTCATGGTCCACCAGCGGACCCATGGGCTGGAGCGTGGCCCGCATCATGCGGTCACGCTCATACTCCCGGGGATCAGGCCGGACGAGCCCCTGCTCACGCTGCAGCTGCAGGGCTTCTAGTCCCCGGCCAAACGGGTCCCAGGGGGAGAGTCCTGGTGCTGGTGGCCTCTCCATGGGGTGCAGCTGGGGTCCTAATTGCCCCACAATGCGGCTCCGCTCAAAGAGAGACATCCCCGGTGCCATGCTCATGGCTGGATGCAAAGTATGCGAGTTGTGTAACGCTCGTTCCTTCTCTGAGGTTCCTGTCTCCTTCCGCTCCTCTTTCCCGGCTAACAACCCATGCACATTGTTGAATGCACTCTCTGCCTTGCTGGCGTGCAGGTTGTCACTGCTGGGCCGGTAATGCGAGTCCCTTATTGGGGATCTGGAGGTAAACTCCCGACTCCTGTTGTGCTCGGCCGACCCTAACCTTGAGTCATGGTCTCGTGAGTGGTGGTCGCCATCCCGCGACAGCCCTCTGTCATGGTTCTGGACAGTTCTACTGGACTCTCGCTCCTCACGGCGATGCTCCAAATCGTTGGGCCAGCTATGTGATAAAGGGGAGATTCTCTCTTTCTTGCCTGGTCTCGATTCATTCTCTCTCCGCTCCCTGTGGGGGAATAAAGTGATGATCAGCAAAGAGAATGACCAACAAATACGGTAGAAAACCACTATGAGACAACTACAGAAGTGCAGTCAATTACCTATACCCACAGGTTAGATTTGGGAAAGGCAGTCTGAAAAGTCTACCACAATGCAAATACGATACAACTCAATACACTATGGCCTCACCGTGTAGAAGTCAGATTTCTACTCTCATGAAAGCAGGCTTAATCAAGATTAGAAAAAGGCCAGAAGATGACGGAGCTAAAGCTCTAGACAATGTGGTTCACAACACCAGATTGCTGTATCTTATACAGGTGTCAAAAACTCCCTTATCAAGGCAGATTGGTTATTTTTTGTTCACTGAACCATGGGTACTACCCAAGTGCACAACTTTACACAGCACAAAAATGCTTTTTGAGGAGCGGAAATGGATCTATAAGTGAGTAAAGGGTAATAACCAGGGTGACAAAATAAATAAAACTGATGTATCTCCCTTGTGTTTAGGGTACGTGGACAGGGGATGTATTCTTTTCTGGATCCTGGTCACATTTTCCTTCCCAATTCTTGCCGATGTTTGTGCACAGCATGTCGTGCAACGGCATGGTGTGAAGGGGTATGTTTCCCCCTTGCCATACGGCAGCTGCATGTTACCTGGGCCAGTGTGACATGCCAACTGCAAGACTAATCTTATACTGAAACACCCTGTTTATGGAGTAAGTATTCTAATCGTTCCCTTTTTCCTGTTCTCACCTTCAATATTCCTGTACTCAAAGCCCACTTTAATGAGGAAAAACTCTCACCTTTCTCTTTCCTTGTCCCTTTCCCGTTCCCGTTCCTTTTCACGTTCTCTCTCTCGTTCCCGTTCTCGATTCCTTTCTTCCTCCTTAGCCCGCTCCCGATCCAAGTCGAGGTGGAATCCTTCCTTCACCCGCTCGGTATCAGGCTTGGCCCAGGGCGGGGGACCTGCTGCAGGGAAGCCCGGTGGGGTACGGTGAAGCCGGTTCCAGGAGGCAGGGTGAGGGCTGACCAGGCCAGGAGGAACACCCAGCATCTCTCGACCATTCAAGAAGCTGCTCAGGTGCGCCGGGTTGGAACCTAGAGTAACAGGTAAATTAAAACATCAGAGATGACCAGTTTTCAAGGAGAGGGCATTTTCTTATGAGCCATAAAAGTGACAATACAAGTTTCAAAAGTTGCAGGAAACTTCAACAAAAACAAAAGCATATGGTACTGATCTCAGTCTGAGCCTACAAAGGCAACAAACACAAGTACATAAATGGAAATGCAAGCTTCAACCACTCGATGCCGGGGTTCCTAGTACTGGGTACCTTTGGTTTGTACGCATAGCCGGGGGTGCCCGAAATCGGACAAAGGAGCTGGGCCTTGTAAAAAAAAGACTGTACCCGGAACAAAAAACCGAGCTGCTGGGATTTGCCATCATTTTTTCAGCTGGCATTAGCCGAGGTATACCGTCATTGTTTTGAAACAGTATACCACTGTTTGAAGCATTCAGCGCCTGCAGATTATCAGCGGGGACAAAAGTGCTCCAGCACTCCAGCGATGAGCGATACAGCACTGCTGCATGCTAATCTGGCCGCACTTCACAATACACCACCGCCATTCAGCAGTGCACTGGGCCAATTTTGGGAACAAAGGAAATAGCACAACACCGCACAATCTGGGCTCTCTTTACTGGGCGGCAGGCCTGACTGTAATACTCTGGTGTCAATGGAGGTTGCCTGTCAGATTAGTATAACCACCAGACAGTCTTTCGTGTGGGTGTGAACGTCCACTAAATGAAGTTATGAATTTTTAAAGATTTTTGAAAACGGAAAATCTTGAAAATGTCTGGGAACTTGTCCCGCATGTGCAAATTCCTTCCGGCAGGAAGTGGTTAATCCTAGTCCTTGCTCCTCATCAAGTAATTCTTATTAGCACTATAAACTTGAAGATATTCAAAAGTTTGAGGACAAAGAAGTTACAGATCACTCACATGGAACCCAAACTCATGACCTCCTGCTTGCTAGTACAAACATCTTACTGCTTGACCACTAAGCTTTACCAGAGTAAACTTTCACTAGTAAGCTGCTTGTCTTGTCTAAGCCCCACCTGAGAAACTTGAACTTGTCCAACAAGCTCTCTGAAGCACAGAAATCGACTTTCAGACGTTATGGTCTCTCACATCAGTTCAGACCATTTCAAACTCAAACCAAGCCCTTGGGTTTCTTGTTGGGAGGATGATACAAGATGGTTTTGAACACCAAACATTTTAGTGGCTGAGTTTTAGGAGTAAGAACCTCAATCTATCCACCACACTGAACTCTTTCGCCGTTTTGTTGCAATCACTCACCGGGTGTACCCAAGGGAAAGCCAAAGCTGGGAGTGTAGTTGCCGGGTCGGGCTACTGGCGGTAGACCAAACTGGCCGGGAGAGGAGTTGAGGAAGGGTCCATGGTGGGGGTTTGCTCCTAAGGGGTTGTGGGGTCCTCCAGGTGCACCTGCCAAACAGAAAGCACGCAACAACATGAAGGTAACAGCTTCCATTTACGAAAACCTGCACGTCATCATGCTCCAATATTGAACCTAACCCACATCACATTTTCTCTGAGCACTGTGTAACTGTAAATACTACCGAACTCCACACAGTAGAAATAATGACCTTTGTAATTGTGTCGGAATGCACGAACGTGTAACGATAGATTCTATGACATCAAGCAGTGCACTTAATAATCACCAGCCTCTTGGGCATATGAAGTTACTCATTGCTCTCTGCTAGCTGCATTGACTGCCAAAATGTATACAATACAGTGTTACATATGTTGCACTCTATAGTGATACATGTATCAGGGTTAGAGTCAAGTATGCCATTTGTAGTATCCAATTCTCTCCATAACCAACCCTCCTCCAACCTGGACAGGCAGGCAAGCACCCCCATGCTGCACCCTTTCTGACATCCATGCCTACTACCCCCTCCCCATCCAGAATCTTTTGAGAATACCATCCTAACCCCTAAAACTGCGGCCTGCTTACCATGAGGGAAGAGATTGGGCTGCATGGGCAAATCTGGCGGCCTGTGGGGAGAGAACAGATGACTCGGTGGCCGGCCGCCAAACAGATCAGCCTTGCCTAGCTGATCCTTCTGTGCATCAGCCTTGGCCTACAATAAATATCCAAAAGAGAACAAAGATTCAAATGGCATATTATATCACATCATACACTCTAAAAACTCAAAGTGACTCGTAGAGAAAAATTTAACTGTAGCTCACCTCTCCAAAAGATGGCCAACAGATTAAAAAGGACACAGCATGTATGATGTGGTTCCTACAGACAAATCTAGCAATGTCATCACTGGACATTCTCAATGATGCCCTTCAAATGGTAAAAAGATTTGTCTTTGTCGAAGCGACTTGTTGCCGAATGTGGCTCCATATAACAGTCATCACAAAGCTTCTCACCATTGAAGGAAGCCTCAGCAGGTGACTGGAAATTGCATTTCCATGAGTCACTGAATGTATCTATACAAGGTGTGGAGATAGCCAACATTCTAACAATTCCGTGTTGGCTTTCTTTTCAAGTCAATCTTAGCACCACACTGCAAACCCACCCTGTCATTTTATAATATGTCAAGAAATTAAGAAATTCTACATACCTTTTGCTGTTGATGATAGATCAGCCATGCCACATTGACATGAGCAGCGCACCACTTGCCGGGTTTCTAAACACCAAAAATAAAATCAACGAAGAAGGTAAGTGAATGTTTCTGACTTGGAACATTACTCATACAGTGTTGCTGCAGGTGAAATCAAGCAAAGAGATCCACTTCCAAGGTGACCAAAAATGTCCTTCCACGTTCTTCATTCTTTTTTCCCCTTGGGGGATTCCTGAGATGAAACACAGGTTCCATTTCGTCCTGACGTGATGGACCGTTACATTAGAGAGCCACTTGATCCATGACTCACTGTGTGTGTGTGAGGAAAAAGAGAAGTTACTCGAACATTCACACGCTCTCGAGAGTAATGACTGGCATATCATGGTTTCGCCAGCAAATTTATTCCCATTGATGATTGTCTGACGAGCCTTGTGAACTTCTGACCGCACTTCTAGCTTCAAAGAAAGGATGTAAAGGATGCATCACAACTCCCTGAAAGGTAACCGCTTTTCTTCCTGTTTTTTTGAAGGGGGATCTTGAGGAGGTAGCCCTGCATTCTCAATTCAGGAAAATGAATCAATCACCCTGAGTCACCTGAAAAGTCGTCTTCCCAAAAAACTGGATCTTAGCTGACGAGTGCGCCTGGCTCTCAGGGGCAATCCTCCAAAACCTTGACATTTTGACTTTTTTTTTTTTTTAAAATGAGTGAAGTCAAATGACATAAAAAGGATTCATCTAGACTCCAAGTTTCTTGTAAAGGCCATGAAACAGCTGCAGGAGGGAGGAACCTTACATGTAACAACGTTCCCTTTCCTGTCATAGGCCAAGTCATGAGCAATGTGGCTAAGCAGACAGACATTTAATCCTCAAGGATGGCATGCCTGCCCTCGAACACTCCCAAGCTAATTTGAATACCCATGTATTCTCCGTGCAGCACTGGCTTGAGCGAAATAGTTTTCAGTGCTTTGCAGCTCCGTGATGCTGGTCCTGGGTCTCTTGATACACTTTCCTGACCCCAGTTAACGGTAAGTGGCAGTACTAACCATCATAGATAACCTAGACAGCGGCAGTGCCGGGGGTCGATCCACCCCTCCTTTGAAGTGTAACGCCCCTTCCAACACTGACCGACTCTCTGGCGCTGGAACTTGCTGCAGAATAGAACAAAAACATCAGAAAGATTATCGCACTGACTTTTACCCATGTAAAAAGTCAGTGTACACACATACTGCCTGTTAATAACAAACAATAGATAGAAGTATTAAGCAAGAATAAATTAAGATTTCATCACAAACTGAAATTAAAAACTTTTGTAAATGCTGATAGAACGTATGCTGGTCGGCACTGGTCGTGCTAGTACAGTTGACTATTCAGGAAACAATTAATGGGGAAGGTCAAAAATCCTGTTAATGTCAAAACTCATTCAATGCACACCATTTGCACATTTTGACTTCTGCTGGTGCAAGCTAGCTGTGAACTACATGTAAACAACTTGTCAACTAATCTTGGTCAAACTCATTCTGTAAATAAGATAGGGTTACACTGGTAAACTCTTGTCAGAGGTCTTGAAAGAATATGGGTTTGGATATAGCCTAGAAATATAAATCTGTCTCCCTCAGTAAGATGGCTTACTGTAACTGGTCCCACTTCACATACTTGCTTCCCTGATCAGGACTTGATATGTCAGTACTGAATACTGCTGTCACTGTACCACACTTGTCTTGAAAAGGGTGATTTTTTTTTATCAGTGTGAGGAGGGTCATTGTATAAATTTGGAGTCCAATTTTTTCCCCCATCCCTGTTACGTCTGGCATTTGATTTTTAATGTTAAGAACTCATTGTTTGATTTCCCAGACTGAATAAGTACTGCAAATAACCTGCCAAACAAATAACAATATTTTGAAATCAATTTCAGCAATATATCCCTTGTCAAACATGTCAGAGGTAACAGGGACATTTTGCACCCCAAATTAATAGAATGACCCAGATGGAAGAATGGTGCAAAGGGAAAAGGTTACCAGCCTCTCACTTCCAGACTGGTTTCTACATCCTTTCAAAGTAAAGAGTACAATTGGATGGCCAAGGATCCAGCCTACTTGTTAAGTCAGCACTTTCACAGTCCACTAAATCCTTGTCATACCTGGTGCAAGCCCACCGATTCCCACATGTAAATGAACAAACACATCGGGACCAGTGATACCTACATTTGCTTTCATTGTTAGTTATACAGTGCCTTCTTCAGTGCAACGAGTCCATCAACAGAGATCAAAACTGTTCCCATTCTGACGACTGGGACAGAGTTCTGATAGTTATGCTTGGCATTTAAAGTTATGCTGGAAAACTTGAACAGCCATGTATGGTGTCAAGAAATTACCAAAATTTGAAAGAAAAAAAGAAAAGCCTGAAATTAGCTACTGCAGGAGGACTTGTTTCTCTGGGTCAGTGAAAAAATCATCTAATCATCTTGGGCATTCAATAGTGAACGGAAATGTATCTGCTGAAAAATGCCCTCCAATATTCATCCCCGAGTGCATGGAAACTAGTGAAAACCACACAGAGAGCCAAACAGCTGACTCCAATTCCCTACCTTGGGCTGGAATGCTCCTGATCCGAAGCTGTTGGCCATGCTGGTGGGTGGAAGAATGGGTGCCATGCCAGGAGGATAGCCAATCCCAAGCTGCATGGGGCAGAGAGGAGGGGTAAAATGGGGAGGGGGGGATTGAGGTCAAGCAAAATGAAAATGAAATAAGGCAGGAGTTACTGTGTCACCCCCTCTTCAGCTTAACACTGGCTGCGTTTGTTCTCTGGGTAGAGTTGAGCTGATGTCAGTTAGAATGATCACGGACATGTGTTTGTCATTTGAGCAAACAGCTTATAAAATAAATCATATTGCAGATATCCTCTATTTTACATGGTTAAATAAATGTAAGGTTGGACATTGTTTACGCATTATGGCTGCATGCCATGATACTGGGAGATTCATCATGTTGGAAAACCAAGATGTCAGCAACTGCATTTGACGTGCTTATCTGCAGAAGCACTCTGCTTCTCTCCGTGAGAGTTTTCAAGTATTTGGGACTGGTTGAGGGGGAAACTGGAAAAAAGATCAAAATTCTGTCAGGTTTCGTGACAGGATATTATTTTTTATGATGAGACCGTGTCTAACTGGAGAAAACAAAGGGATTCTGTGAAACAACTCAGAAGACCAATCATGAAAAGCAAAATTTGGTCATTTTGTAAAGATTGTACAAATTGATATTTGGGCTACAAAGGGTCTGAGGCAGATGAGGAGCATGGAAGTGATATAAACATTGATGGCAATTCGGTACACACAAAATAACTGTATGACTTCAAAACATATTGCACATCATTGAATTCGCTGCTGTTTTGCACAGCGTTGGATGTGTATGATTTTCATGCCATATGTGCATGCCAATGAAGTCAGAAATTATTATCGTTGCACGGCATATCATAAAATGGACTTTTGCTCTGTTAGGTTAATCAAATGACAAAACAAGGCATGGTGAAGAGGAAAACTGAAAAATATGAAGGCACTTGGATGTTATAGAGTTTAACTTCCATGGTCCAAGATGGTTATTGTTTTTCTTCCAAAGAAATTTACTGTTAAAAGAGACAAAATAAACCAAGGATTGGAAAGGTTTTTCAAGCTCAGAATTGGAAACTGAAAACATGAAATTTGGGTAAACGATTCCAATCCTGACAATCACCGGGATTTTGGAAGTTACACGTATTAGTTCCAACTTCCAATTGCCTGTTCTCTAAATTGAATCTGAATTCAAATCCCACTGAGTTACATATATATTTGTCAGTGCGGTGAAGATTTGAAGAAGTCAAATATGGGAACTTGGTCAGTATAAACTTTCATCCCCCCAAACCTTGGAATGGCCGTTATCAAAATGTGCTCGTTCAGTCAAAGTATCACCCAACTCATACTCTCTTTCACGGGCAGTAAAGTCTCATTACACTGTACTGATAATTCATAAAACACAGAAGACATCAAGAGTGAGTTAAAAAGCATCCGGTAAAATCATTGCTTCATTCCCTATTACACCAGTAAATCTCACTCAAATACTTTAAGTAAATTTAACAAAGCTTGTGGTTGGATTGCGTGCATGTGTAAGTCGTCCAAACCTAGGCTGATAAACTAATTGGATTATGCACTGTATGTGGCTAAAGGATATGAATTTCTACACTCCCGCACAGTATCCGAGCGTGATTCATTGAATCTTAGTGATGACTGACAGGCGAGGGGTCAGGGGTCAAGATCACGATATAAATGGCTCCCATTCAGCCACCTGTCCTCCCTGAAGGCACACTTATTTAGATCCAGATTTTACCGAAGGCTTAAGAAAAAATCCTTACAAGTTAATCCCCCACATTTCACAGTAGGCTGGGAAAGTGCAGGTGGAGGTCAAATGTGTAGGATTAATAGTAACTAAGGTTGTACATGTACACATGTACATACATGTACGTCTTAAACATGTATATACATGTACACTCTCAGCAATATCACCAGCAACTTCCTGCCGACGCAATGGAAAAAGGTGAGATTTGAAATGTCATCACGTTGGGCCACTTGATCAGTTTCAGGGAAGGACATTTTCTTCCCAAAATGGGTGGGATGAAGATGGCTAGATGAGATACTTTTAAAGGGGGAATATCAGACAATGGTCACCTTGGCCATGAGTATCAATGTGTTGAACGATACAATGGCCAAAAAGGATTGTCTGAAAAAGACGATGACTTGGGTATGATGGAAGCAGATTTCCGCACAAAACCATGTACATTAACAGATGTAGCACAACTGCGCATGATTAAAAGAGAATGCGACGACTCTGCATGGGTCAAAGGTCATTTACATGTATTAGCCAGGTTTGAAATTACTTTTTGCTGAAAGGCAAAACAAAACTACTCATACTGCCTGGGCTAGCTGAACACTTTGCTGTGACAGGGCACCAGACAGCAGAGAAATACAGCCTTCACTAGAGATAATGATGTCACACACTGTTTACATGTGGTTTTTACACTAATGTACATGTACATGTAAACCTAGAGTGACCTCATTATGTCGCAGGCCTATTGTTGAAGCTGCTGAACCAACTCACTCATAGAATGGTATAACTACCTCTTGACAGGCTTTTTTCTACAACAGGAATAATTGCCTTACTAACTATGCTTCAATGTGCATGTAGCCGCCATTTTCCCATAAAATCTACCCAATCAAGCTCAAGAGCACAATGAAAAATTTGGGTCAACTGGGAAACAAACATGATACTTATCCACAGAACCTGAAATCATCCTACATGTACTGTCTTTGGGGGGAGGGAATCACTCACAGGAACCTGAAATTAACTAATTTTTGTTGCAAAACTCTCTAGAAGAATTTTTCAAATCTTGCCATTCAAAGAAATCTCTCAAGAGACCTAAAATCCGACAATTTGAAAAATTCGAAGAACTTTTCACGTCTTGTCACTCCTAGAAATCTTTTCTGCAGGTGAACAACCAAAAGTGAACACATACCATATGATGGGTTGGCTTTGCTTGTCTTCAGGACGGTTGTGTCTAAATAACTCAGCTGAGGCTTGAAATCGCACACAACTCTATGTGTCTATGGCTGCATTGACAGCCATAGACCCGCAAATAATTTTAAGCCATAGCCAAATCAGTCAGGCACAGCCTAATAGTTATATCCAAAGAGACTCTTTACTTTCTGCCCAAACTGTGGGTGATTCAGGTGGTGCTCATAAGCCCACAGATCCTCAGTAATCTTTGGTAATATGTGGTAATCTCCTGACAAACTAAATTGTTTTTTCGCTGAGTGACACATGCATGAACTGCTCCATTCCTAAAAATCTCACGGGAGGATTCAGGATTTATTACTTGTGGCCCACTGTACAAGTGGCATTCTTGTAAACACCGTGAAAAAAAAAACAGACTGAGTGGAAGTGATGAAATAGCGAATGATAAATTTGTTTTGGAATGCATGGAGCATTGTGAGGAATAACAGTTTATGAAAGCAGTCAAGATTTATGGGTAAGTCTTGGGAAATGGAGGTACAGTGTGTGTTGAAGTGAGATGGTAACTACACGCATATTCATTTCATGGAAGCATGAGTGGGGTTCATGGGATGATAAAAAAATAGAAGTTGAATTTGGGTGTATCTCCTGAAAATTCATACAGTTCCCATTCAAGGGTGGTACTTCACCGGTCCCCATCAAAATAGGGCATGAAGCCAAATAAACTCTCAACAAAAAACCCCCAAAAACCCACCACTTCAACCCACAGCAAAATGATTGTAATCAGTGTAAATAGCGCCCTCGGCAACTCATGTACATAAAGGATGAAGCATGACTACAGCTCAAGAAGTTGAACGTGAGCACTACAGCAATTACATGTATCAAACAATATGAGCATGTTAACTATGAGTCAGAACATCACTACAGCTACGTGTTGATCGGATGGCTCTTTTTGGTTTGATCATTCAATCTAACTGGATGAGGAATTTGTGGGAAAGACCACTCACATGGCGGTGCAAAAATCCCGGATCTATTTCAGAATAATTGTCAAACTGCAAGAGACAGACAAAAAAGAGAGTGAGAAACGTTCTCAAGGTGAAGGGTTTTGTTTGAGCTGCCTGTAACTTAGAAACTGACAAGCCTGTTTAAATGAACTGTGAGTGTATGTAACTCAAGATTTTCCTTTCAGACAAAAACAGTGTGTAAAAGTCCATGGGGGTTGAGGAAATACAAGTAACACCGTGTATTCTTGTTCCATGGTTCTGTGGAGCACATGCATCGTGGGTCAGTTATTGTGAGGATACACCAATATCCTCATCATTTAGTCTGCACAGTAGAAGCCTTCCCCACAACTCGGTGCTGGGATGGACACAAGTTAACAAAACTCGGACAGTTGCTGACAGAGCAAAAATGACTTTCGCGTCTAAGCCAAAATGTAACAGTCGACTGGTGGGGCTAAAAATCTGCTGGAGGCTGACAACGGGACAGCTCATCCTAACGCTCATCGTAGCACTCGGACAGCCCATCCTTGCACTTAACGTGAAAGGAGACAAGACAAGAAAATCCTGCCTCCCCATCTTGGTTGCTGCATCCTCCTCAGTTGATCAACACGCCCAGGGTGTAATCAACCGGGACTGTCCCCTTCCCCAAGCTTTCGTGAGTAACACGCCTCCTCTAGGTCCCTCGCTACCTTCATTTCCCCCAATACCCGCACCAATCAAGAAAGTATTGCCACATTGTGCAAGTCTTTCAAGGCCAAGGAACAGGAAGCGAAAGAAAAAAAAACGGGGGGGGTTTCGACAATTCTTGTTGACAAGACTGTGAACAGGGCCATCCGTGGTGGCTGACCGTTTCGCCTATCACCTTTTTTTGGGGGGGGGGAACCTGGCTTGTGTAAAAGTGTTAAAGTCAGTGATGGGATACGGCAACAAACATCTGTACAGGATGTGGCATTTTGATCCAGGGGAAATCTAGTTAATTTACAAGTAACTGCTCTGGGGAATGGTTTACAAGAAGCTGGAGAAAGAAGGGGATGATACTATCCAGTATACATTTTAGAGCAACTTCCTGGCCTTTCTTTTTTTAGAAAGAAAAATATTCTATCTAGAGGTTTTCTCTAGCTAAAAAAGAGAACTTTTCAATTCTAGCTTTCTGAGAATTACAGTTTATGGTTGTCCACACCCAAATTCTCTTCTTCATCTTAAGATCTTCGACAAGTGTTTTCCTGAAGTACAATCAATCATAAATATGTGTGACAGGAAATAACTCGGCAACAGAAAAATCTTTAACATGGATGCACACATTACACACTAAGTCCAACATCTCCAAACATACTTTCGTGATTTGAAACAAAATGTCTCAAAATATACTTTCATGAAATTTAAAACAAAAAAAACTTCCCTTTGAACCAATCAGCAACAACTTCCCCAGCCAAAAGGTCTTCAAATGCAGCATCAGCACTCGATGAACACACGGGAAATGTCCATTTAAAAGATTACGACCAAAATAATCGAGATCGCAAGACACCCAGAGCCCAAGCTCCAACAAGACGTAATTTGCTCGCTGAGACTGAAGTCTTTAAGCCGCAAGGTTTTTCCAAGCTTATCTCTCCTCCTCCTCTCACAGCCTTAGAACAAAAATGTAGCAGTCTCAAGAAGATCAACACTGACAGAGTTAGCGGTAATAATGCTGTTCAATACACGAAGGCACACTGAAGGCTTTTTACAACAATCAAATGAGACTGATACGATGGAAACTGTATCATGTTGAAAAAATCACTGCTGACATCTGAAGGGTCTTGATTTATGGTGAGGGAAACATTACACCAATGAGTTAGTAAATAAGTAAGTAACCAGATAATCTATTAGAAAAGGAGGCAATCCACTTTTTTCCCACCCACTGGGCCAAGTGATGATTAATTGCATATTTTCAGACACTTCTTCCACTACTTTCTTTTGTTTTGCCAATGTTCTTAATTTTACCAGACTACGTAAATACCATAACCAAATGGTATTCTTCAATCAATTAAATGCTCTTTTTCAACTACTGTTTCAAATCAGACAGCTCACTTTGTGGCTTTGCTGATTTTCATTGAAGATTTGAACCAGTGACAATAAAGAAGCAAGCAGTCTGCATTCACATCATTCCTGCCCTGAAATTATGAAAGCCACTTGAGAGTTTGGAGCCCGGAGATTACTTCCAGAGGATGCAAATTACGATTCCTACATTTGATTTAATTCCATCACAAAGTATGTAAATTACGATACGATTCTCGAATCTGACATGATATCTTCATTCTGACACCCTGCCACAGCGACAAATCGATAGGGAATTGGATGAAATGGCAGTGAGGGAAATTAAAGAAGGGAAGAATAGGGGAAAAAGAAGCCCCGCCCTGAACTGAACATTTTGCTTGGGCTGGCTTGTTAATTCGTTTCCGAAGACTCGACCTGATTTAATATCACAGGATTATAACTGTACAGCAACTTTTCAGGGCTTCTAATAATTCTCTCCCACATGGCAATTTTTATGTAGTTCAAAAAAAGAGGAAAACCTAAATGACTGAACATCTGGGGGAAAAAAAGGGCATTTCTACGTGTGAGATCCTCAAGCCGGAAAAATCAAGAGGAAGTACATCCGTGAGAAAGCTCTGAATTCATTCAAAATGGACAAGAAAAATCAACAAATTTTGTAAAAAGACAAAAGAGATAAGTAGGCCTAAGGAACTTTTGCACACTCTTGATCCCGAGCAGTGGGCAGCACAGGTGCATTAAATGATTATTATTGAATATAAGCATTATTGGGATCTGAAATGATAGGGCCCAGGAGAGTCCTCTCAACTCTGTCCAAATTTTAAAAAATGATCCCACCCAAGGGCACATATCAAAGAACAATGGAAATTCGGAAATGTACATGCACTAGGAGATTTCCACCACAAAAGTTTGAGAGAACGCAAATTTTTTTGGGGGGGGGTGAGAAAAAGATGCGCATAATTTGTTTACAAAGACGCAGAGTTGGAATTAAACCCGAAAGAGGAGATTTGTGGATTTATTACAATCAGCCATTCACTACAAGATGCATGGATGAATTATGCAAAGGCAGTTACATGTAATGGCACAATAAAAAAGAAGCTGGTACTTGTGCATGCTTTATACTGGTGGAGGCAAAAGAACGGCTAAATATAGGAGAAACAAGACACCGGAAGGTCAGAGAGAATATCCCGAGATATTTTCCATTTTTGGGGTACACAAGTACACTTCACCCCACGCAAAAAATCAGTCATCAATTAGACAAACTACACCATTTGCAGGGAATGACGAGATATGATGAATCCCCTCTGCCATCCTGGATTGGAATACTCCATACACAATTCCAGCACATGTGCGCAGGTAGGCAGACTAAAGACCAGGCTCTGCACAGCACAGATGCGATAGTCAACGCTAATTTCTGACATCAGATTAAACACTTGGATTACAAATTTTATTCAAGTTAAGCAAATCTCGCTGCAAATTCGGGATGTCAAACTCCCTGCGCTTTTGCAACCACCTGAAGTATGAAGGAGCCTTTCACATTCACCTAAATAATTCAGAAGTAGAAATTGGGTTTTCTTGGAGATGGAAAACCCTTTGTGAAACTTCCGACAAGGATGTGCCCATGGTGGCAACTTAAGCATACCTGCAAAGTATTTCTTTAGTTCAGAGAAAATTATTAAAGGGCTGGGCCACATCAATTTATCTAGCCACCAAACTCATGGGACCTGACTAATAATATCCTGCTGAACAAACAATAAATCAAAAACAAACGAGAAAGTACATCAAGATTGTAGGAAACGGTTCTCACCATGTGCGGTGCGGGTGTGGGTACCAGAGCGCCCCCAGGTGGTGGCAAGAAGGAATGCTGGTGCGTGTGCTGATGCTGATGCATGTGTTGGTGCTGGTGCATGTGGGTCTCCTGTCGCATGTAGGGCGGCGGACCGACGTTCATCCTTTGGTCATTGGAAGCCAGAAAACGGTTGTTCAGCTCCTGCTGAAGGATCTCGCGCTGTGGATCTGCAGATTGAAGGGAGAGGTTGAAGGGAATGAGAAGGAGAACAGAGACAAGACAGGAACCAAATTTAATGGAGTGGACTGTGTGACACCTTTGGACCAGTTGGACGACCAGTGACGACTACAGGTCAACCACTGGAAAACAGACCTCAGTGTTGATGATGCCACACTGCGTGATCTCCTATGATGCTCAGTGGACTGTGGGTCCCTACTGGCTCCACAGGAAAGCGCCATAAAAACAAAGTGTCACATCTTCAATACATAGGCCTGTTGCTTCTTGCCAATACACATGCAATACCATCTCACTCAAAATGGCCCCCGTCAAACCATTTTTGGAAATCTTATCTCACTCACATTTTACCGTAGATTACCACTCTCTCTGAGTTCACAGTCTCTGTCATCTTGTGGAATTCTTTTTCAGGTCAACTGTCCACCTCATGCTTTGTTACAAACCGGCTATTGAGAGCCAGTGAAGCATCCATGCCCCAGGGTCTGGTTCCAAATAGTCAACTCTTGTGGTTCAACCATGGCTCAACCATGGTTCAACCATCCATCATTCAAGTGACACTGGTCAAACCATAGTTAACTTCATGTACAGTCACTCCTCCAACTTGCCTAATATGACACAGTAGGATGTCAGCGAGCAGGCACGGTTGATGTGTGTTCTGCCCCTGTGATCCGGGTTCCAATCCCACCCAAGCCGACAAGGAATAGGGTTTTTAAACTGATTCTGGGTGTGTCTCCTGAAATATCTGTTGGGGCTTTCTTTTCTTTTCCAGGTTTCATGATGAATATTTATTTCCAAGATGTATAGTCTCTTTCTTACTTTGCTTGACTCACTTCAATGAACAGATAGAAATGAACAACAGCCAGGCACAGAAAGCACACAGTTCAAAAGAACACAGAAAGATTCCTAACAACAGTATTCAGTATACATCATCTTGGCAAATTTACAAAACCCTAGTAAGTACTCTGTGAGTCACTGTGTGCATATACAGCATTTTCATAGGCAAAGTAAGAAAAAATGAGCATACCTCCACCAAGTCCTGAACTTAAATCAGAACTACATACTCAACATGGACAACAGCACACCTTATCCACTTTGACCACAGGCTACTGGCAACCTGTCAGCTGAAGGGCGAAACAAATACTGCACACAAATCAGCTAACAGATTCAACTGGTAGTTGCCAGAACAGATGACGGTCCAGTGCATCAAGAGGTCCAGGACAATGAAATGAGTGTACCATAAATGAGCAGTGAATGACACTCCTTGGCTAGAAACTGAATGCAGTCCCTGGTAGCCACTCTCCTGATGCTACTGGTTTATTGAGGGCAGAATGAGCTAAAATTTGACGACGCAAACTGCTGGTACCAGACCAATATCAAACTAGAAAAAGCTTACTCCCTTCTGTGCAATTTAGCCGCACATGGTTGTGTTGGCGTAACAACAACCGTTTTCCACAAAAGCATCTGCTACTCAACTTGATTAATATTGAAAAGCTCAAGAATTACAGGAAGGGGGAACCGCCAGACACGATGGCACTAAGAACCACACAGGCATAACATGTGGGTTCATTAACTTTAATGATGACATAACATGCTGATAGATAACAAGTTAATGTTTATTCATGATAAAACCAGGCACCACACATGTTTTGTAAAAGTGCACTCTTGGAGAATCATGAGTTTGTCATAAAAATCAGCACCAGATATGATTTGAAAGACAGAAGAGTATTTTGGTGGGTACTGAAAGACATAAAAATTCAAATCAGTAATCAAAATCTGAACATCAAAAAGACAGAGGGGGGCTGCAACTACATAATCTGGAATACATATGGCAGTAAATCTAAATACCCTAAATCTAAATACCCTTTTGCAACTGCAGTAACGTTGCGGGAAAATGTACAGTTGAAAAAAAAGTGAAAAGAGTCCCTCCATTTGGCAAAAGGCATCTAAATTCCAATGAACAACTTAAAGTTTGATTCCCAAGTTCAGCAGGACGGGAGCGGAACAACCGGGGTAGATTTTCCCAAGGGGGATAGCGTGCTGCATACACAACGGGGAAAGTGGAGGAAAATTGGTCAACAAATGAAGGAATGACACGAACACGTCTGGACTTCCTCCCTGGGCCCGTCAAAACCAATGACGGCAGGGCAGAAGATCTGGTTAAGACAGAACAACACTCCAATGGAATAAAAGAAAAGAGGGGTGGGAACACATACGCGGGAGACATAAGTGAGAACAGTTGGAGGGAAGGCAATCTGATCAACCTGCAGGTGGGCTGACAAATTAGACGTAGAAAAAAAAAAGAAGATAATTGAAAAGTGCTTAGGAGGAACAAGAAAAGGACGTGGAACATTTCCGTTGTGAAGTCAGTACATTTTGCACAGAAGTCTCTTTTCATTTCAAAGCTTGAATGTGTTTGGACTTGGAGGATTTTTATGTTAATGACAGGATCCTCCCCCTACTCCTTTCAAAAGCTTTAGTCACTGAATTTATACATAATTGACATTTCAGAAACCTCATTACAAAATGCCATGAAAACAAACCTCCAACAGTAAACACGAGGGAATTAGACCTACGCGTGCATTCTCTAATGAGTTTTCCATGAACTCATGTGCCAACGAGTCTGAGATTCTGCGAATGCTCCTTGGCCTGGCCAATATTCCTGTTAAAATAACGAGCATGCCATGCAATGGCAGAGACGGACAGATTTGGTGCACAGATCAACTTCTCCTTCTGCTTTCATGAGCTCAATCCAGCCACTTCTACCACCAAATCAAACAATCTTACCTTTCACCCAAACAAGACAACACTGCTCATGGAAACACTTTTTAGGCCAGATGAGGCGCTGCTTTCTGTCTAAACTTCAGGAGTGCATCTGTGTTTTCACAGTTGCCGCATTGAGACGGGTGAGATGACACAGCCCAACTCCAGTGCCACACAAAAATCAAAAGCTGCCCCTTCAAGTGTTTATAAAGGCCATACAGTGGGAGGTGTTGCCATGGAGATGATACTTGAAGGCAAGTTATACATCACCTATGAGCTGTGACACTTGGGCTTTGGAAAGTCTTCCACGATTTAAAGGGCAAATTCAAAATACTTTTTTTTAACTTCAGGCGCCATTTCCCTTGCAGTATAATACCTTTGATTAAAGATCCTAAGTGCATTGTACACATTTTGGAAAATGCATGGGCGAGCTGACTTCAATGTTGCAGTGTGGGACACACAGTGTATGAGCAGTTGACTGGAGAATGCTCATAGTGCACTGGTTTTCGAGGAGACCCATGCAAAAAAATAAACGAAATGTACGATAACGTTTCAGCCAAAAGCGGAGGGAGTGACAACTCTGGAAGACAAACTGAGGACATGGGTAGGACTTTTGGCAGCTTTCAGGAGGAGATTTTGTTGATGTTTTTGATGTTTTCCCCATGTTCACAGAATCGTAAGCCGCAGTCGGCATACACTGTGCTAACACCCAACCTGACTAGTGTCGCTGAATCCCTTGTAAAGTTGGGGTGCACATGGATGAAGTGCGCCACCAGGAATCTGCAATAACTACTCACCATCCTCAAACTCCAAGCCCTTATTGTGTGATTTGACAGGGTGTAAAACACTTATGGAAAATATTCAATGAGATTGCATTGATGGACCAAAAACGTAGAACCTCAGGACCAAATGTAAGAAAAGTTGCGACTACATTAAAAAAAATTACACAGCAAATCTGTCCTTTTGTGACGTATAATAGTAACACACACACTCACACCCAATTACATCTTACAAGTATGTTTGTTGAAGTATCTGCAGCTGATGAATTTGAAGCGACCTACTGGCCAAGGCAAGCTCAGTGGTCGAGTAGTAACACGTCTGTGCAAGTAAGCAGGAAGTCGTGAATTTTTCACAAGCCTTTGGACATCACTGAGAACACAGTGTTGCAAATATATGTTGGTGAAGGGCAAAACATGCAATAGGAAAATATGAACAACGCCAAGACTGATGCAGAAGCCGCATCTTACTCGACAGTCCTCATAAACAGGCCAGAGGACACGCATAATTGCCCTACGGTGGACAAGGTATGATGCGTACTCACTTGAAGGATTATAGCTGAATCCTGGCTCGCCCCTTGCGTGCGCTGACTGGGCCTGCTGATGATGCGGTGGTTGCTGTTGCTGCTGCGGTTGCTGCTGCGATGGCAGTGGCGGCTGGGGGGGTCCTGGCTGGCCCGGCCCAGTGCTGCTGATCCCCGGCACTACGCTGCTGCCGCTGTTGGATGTCAGTGGCGGGGGTGGAGGCAGCGTGGGGCCTGGGTACATAGTCCGCTGCGTCGACAGGGCGGGGCCAACCACTGGGGTGGAGCCAGGGGCGGGGCCAGGGGTAGGGGCCCGTGCATTCGAGGGGTGGTGATGGGGGNGGGGGTGGGGGGGGGGGGGGGGGGGGGGGGGGGGGGGGGGGGGGAGGGGGGGGGTGTCCCTTGTGAGGGGCGGGTTGGCTTGGGTATTTAGGGGGCACACTGGTTGGGACCTGGGATGGATGGTTTCTGGGCTGTGGACTTGCTCTTGTGGGGGTGGTGTTGCTGTTGGACAAAAAAAATACAAAATATTCAAACACGTTGCTCTTAATAAGTGAAAAATGACTTAAACCACCACAAATGGGATCTGCTCTGTGAAAGGGAGTAAAATCACCAGAGCCAATTTGAGTCAAAGGCCTCCTGAGGAATCTTGCGCAATGTAAAGCAGTAGGACCCCTGCAAAATGTTCACTCACATAATGTCTAGTTTCATCAGGATATCCAAGCCAGGTATGTGTAGCAACACAAAAAGCTTGGAATTGCTCTTTCCACTGCAAACTGAAACAAAATGACTGGATAAAACTGGCCTTTTGACTCCCTTTCACCAAGTGGATTGCAAACTGATTATAATTACACTTACCGAACTCAGCCAAAACACATGTGTTCCTTCTTTTGGAACCAAAGCCTAATGGACCTTGTCTGTTGAATTTTCCAGAAGTCTACATGAGGGGTATCAAATTTCCATGAGCTTTAACGAAAAAATCCCGCAAGCTTTCCTGTTCTCCCCTTTATAAACCCAGCGGTTGTGATTTTTGGGGGTTGCCATATCTGGTGGATCACTTTCAAGTTGTGAAATGCTTAAGCGAATGAGCACACAAGAAGTACAGCTGACCCTGTTGAGTGTCTCCCCTCTCACAACAAAAATGGTTCTCGTAAATTCTCTCTCTTCCCCCCCCCTTTCTGACAAGTGAACAGAAACGAAGACGAAGATTATGACAGGGGGAAAGGGGAACGAGGGTGTGAGCCCCGTGATAAAGAGGCACTTGTCCTCCTCAACGAAGCAGCTAATCCACCACAGACCGGCAGCGCAGGTGCTCAAAGCCTCACACATGGCCGCCTGCGGGCAACGCCTCTCCTGCATCTGGCCAAGTCCCAGCCATTCCCACCCCCTCCTTCCAGGACAGTTAATCTTTTGATGGAAGGGTTTCGGGCAGAAAATCTCAGTTATCATGCATTCCAGTGATGAAAAGTCAATGGTCCAGGTTCAACCGTAAACTTTACATATAAGTTCTCAGGAAACATGTATTCTTTGGATTACTCGGGATCGACACAAGCTTTGCTGGAATTACAAGTAAATGTCAACGAGCCAAACAGATGCCGATCCTCACTTCTGACAAACAGACTGGACAAAGCAAAAGCTGGTTGATAAGGATGTCCAACAAGCAAAAAATAAAAGCAAAACAAGACAAAAAACGTTGGCAGTATCATTCCCATATAGCATTTTACTGACATGCATAACTTGGATTAGGGTTTACAATAAAATGTCTGAGTACAAATCCAATTCTCTGTTGAGCTGTGGTTTCTTGAGACAAACAGGCAAAATCAAAGTGTACATTCTCTTAATATGAGTTTTTACCGCCAGATATTTGTTCTGAAGTTGTGGTATTTACTGTTCCTATTCATATTTGAACCCAAGTAAAAGATAGACCTGTCTTAAAAAAAACCCAGATGTTGCCTGGGACCAGATTTCATGAAAATGAAAGTCTGCCCCTTGAAAAAAGGGAATCAAACTTCCAACCCCCAATTATGGTATAGACTATGTTTTTAGGCTAAATATTTTGTATTTAGTACTGAACGTGTGCAGAAACGAGCACTCCGCCTAATAGCCTATCCTCATCTATTGCCCTATGCTGAGCTTCTGAATACATCTGTAATCACAGGTCAAGTTCGGGCGGCCTGTTCTCGACACGGGTTTCTTGTTCTAGCGCCCGAACAGCAGGAACATGACTCAAGAACACTGTTCTTGGAACAGGATCACACACCACCTCCTCATTAGGGTTTTACAGGAACACACGGAAAAACTCGTGAGATTTTGATTTTTGGACAACTGCAAAAAGTAGAGAGATGGCTTCCAAAGCCATAGACAATGGGAAGTTTGGCCAAATTAACATTAATTATTTTCCGTAACACAAAAATGAATGTTCCTGTTTATTTAGAAAAGAATTCAGCCCATCCAAACATTAACTCTCCAATAACGTAGCCAACAGGGACGCCTCCATGTTGCATGTTGCTTGTCACTAAACTACCAGCGATAACCGGTTGTTTGTTCCCAGCGTTCGAGCGGCAGACCCATGAACAACAAATCAAGCTATTCGTGAACATACAGGAACAAGCCGCCCGAACTCAGCCACAATGTCCAGACTCTTGCTGCTAGACGCAACCTACTAATTAGGTGATTTGGGAAATCTTCATTAGAATCTGAAAGATATCACTCTTTTCTGCCTCCAACTTGTCAAAATATTCCTGGTTGCAATCTTAGGCAATCCCAACTACATGTACTCCCAACTATTCCCAGTTCAAGGACTCAAGCGATATAAGCAGTCTCCGATTCCTTTCATCAGGCTATGCTACTGAATGCTGGTACATGTCTGTAAGTGTGTGTGTGTTTTTATTTGGTGCTATCGTTTACCTTTCCAATATTTATTATAATTTTTAGTCCGTCTTGTAAATATTTTCATAGTATCCCCCTTTTTGCTGTTTAGCTGTAATTACATTTTATCCTTTTGTATTGTAAATCAGACATTATTCATCTTTGGACTTGTTGTTTGATCAGTTTTCAAATAAAACGTAAAGAGGACGACACAATTTTATCTGCATTAAACCACTTCATTTATCAAACATCTATAAATCTATAGAAAGAACGAAACCAGAAATGTTGGAGCAGAGTTTACTGACACATTCTTAAAGCTCCAAGTTAACTGTGAAACCTTGTTTAGTGGAAGTCACAATCCCGCGGCCCAACGTGGGGCAACCATTACTGTTGGCCTGAGGCTTGCCTTAAAACTTTGACAGATAATCCCTTCAAATCCAGCTTCAAATGTGCCCCCTCTCTGCCCCCCCCCTCCAAACAAAATTGTTACAAGCAGCCAGAAAGACATTCTGTGAAAATATTTTGTCTGGATTGAGTAACAGAAAACAGCAAGGTCACTGATCTCAAATTCGGGCAATTGATAAAGAGCAACAATGAATTTAATCCTTGTGTTGCTGCAAGCTCATTTTAAAGAGATTATGGCGAACAATTTTGCCATTTTTTTTCTCTCCCTCTTCCTTCTCACAGAAGTGGTGGTGCTTGATTCTTTTGGCACCAAGCTCTCAGAGGCAATGTTTTTTTCAAGCAATTGTCATTTGCAGTAAGACCCGAACAGGTGCAGTAGACAGGGGCTGATTCAGAGCCGAGTTATAAGCAATTTCCCCCCCTCCACAAATGGGATAACGAGCGGTAATCCAACTTTAATTCCCACCTAATTCTCTTCCCGCGGCTTCAGGTAGGGAGGGGAAATGCGGCGCTGTAACTTCTTTCAGGATCAAATTGCGCACTGTTTCACTTTTTAAAAAAAGGAAAAAAATGGATTCTTGGCAGCTTGCATTGGACTGAAGGTTACACAGGCAATGTGCTCCACATGAGATTCTCCATGAGTCTTAAAACAGCGCTAACTCAGAAGAGGAATGCATCAGAAAATCTGATTACCTTAACCAGCCAGGCAGCCTCTGATAACTAGGCTCTTTCTCTCTCTGATGAAGCACACTGGTCTCCTCTTTCCGGATGTCCCGGCTGCTGTCCCTTCCCCCTAGTGGACCGCCTACGGAACCCCCTACGGTACCTGCAACAGAACCCCCGATGGCGACCCCGACGGTACCTCCGATGCAGCCTCCTGTGGCACTTCCTCTTCCGGTGCGGTCCCCTCCACTGGGGATCCTATCCCCACTTACGGGCAGAGTGACGGAAGGGGAGGTTCCCAATTGAGGGCCGGGAATGGGCAATGGGGACTCCGAGTGGTGGGTATCGTTTGGGAGACCATTGGTGAGGGGTACCGACTTGGCTGGTAGAACAGGCTCTTCTGGAGGGGGAAACATAATACAAGGGTACATCAAAGCAACAAAATCTACTGTCAGCTTTTGAAATTTTTGTACGCATAAGAAATTGACTATTTTGGGTAGTTCTACAGATGGACAAATACATGTAGGTCTTTTAAATATATCCATGTTTGCTACTCCAGAGATTATCGGAGGAGAATAATAAAGCACTGGACCAAAGCAGGATGTACAGTAAGTACGAGCGCTTTCAACTGATAGAGAGCGCTATGTACGGTGTACTACTTTCTCACAATCAAGTGTTCGTCAATGGACAGATGCGCAAAATGCAGGCCGCTGTGTACTGCCTGTCAGAATGGCCCCTCACCCGTTCTGCCCTCTAGACAGTCACTGGGGCGGCTAATTTGCCAACCCGGCTAAATGTGTTAGTGGGCCATAACAGTTGAGGCATTATGCACAGTTCAGTCGCCATGGCGAGGTTTGGGAGATAAATTAAATTGGCTCGCCCTGGCATGCCTGGTTCCCCAGGTTTCCACCCGCCTCCATGATTACTACTAAATACCCGACATGATACTCCGCTGCTCCCGAAGAGAGCGAGCGCAGGAGGAAAGAACAACAACATATTGAAAGTACTTTGCCCTGCTTAATATGGTAATTGAACAGTTGCTCAAGGCTTAGGAAAACAGGTGTGGCGAATGCATTAATAGCCGGTCATGCTTGTGCCCGGAATTTTCTTGTGAGAAAGCCATCAATCAGTCCAGACCTAGGTAGGTCTGTAGACAGTACAATGTCATTAGCGTTTTATTAGTTGCTGGATTGGGGAGCGGAGGGGGGGGGGAGATTGAACACATCACCGGATCCAAGCCATTAGATTGTGATTGTATTATGCAGGCTGTTCTTACTGGCAAGACAATTTTTTGTTCAAGCTAATTTGAACAAGCGCAGTCCATGGAGCGTTGTTGATTTCAGCCCAGTGTGTTTACTTAAGTTTGGAATCAAATGGCAAATAATCCCTTCCTTTTC